ACACCTCAGGAAATAAACTATTCCTATTCGCTATGTGAAGAAATCCATGGGTTCGTTTTCCTTACGTTTATCCTGTGCACCTCAAAAATTTTTGCTGACTTAGTAAAATGGCTATCCCTCTACACACTAGTAATGAGCTCATGTAAACTTTATGCCTTTGTCAATTGTTACATGTTAGAGATGATCTCTACCAGACTTAAAGGAGTAACTGAATGTATGCAGAAAATGACTGCTAGTTTTCCCCAGCAGTGAACTTAATGCTCTCTAAGAGGGGACAACAGCAACATCCAAGTCCCTGTCCCGAGCAGCTCCCAACTTCTATTTATGCCATTTAAGATGAAATGCTCCAGGTAAATCACACTTAAGATTGCAAAGCAGAAACCCTAATTGCAAGCTTCAGGACATAATCCCAGAAGGTTCCCAAATCTCTGCAAATTATGAATCCTATTTTATAAGTGCACACATTTCATAATTCTTCTCCCAAGATAATAAAGTTAAGAGTTCTGAGTTGGTAGAACTCTCTGTCTTAATTACAATAAAACCCATCAAACAAAATTATAATACATTTCTGGAATCAACAGCGCTTGGCCAAGGACACACACATGCCTTGACAGCCCTCCTTTACGGCTGCGGTTACATTAACACGTGTTTGTTTCCTCACCTCTTACAGGCACAAGAGCCCTGCGATATGTTAATTTACACCGAATTCCAATCCATTTCCTTGCCTTTATCTTCCCAGTGTGGTGATAGGATGTGTCAACACCTTTCACACTGGGAAGGAAAAAAATGCTTAGACAAGATTTTGTTTTTACTCACTTTAATTAAAATCACAACAACTAGAAAACAAAGAGTAAATAAATTAAATCTGCCTTTCAGTGCCATTCACCATCTGGCCTGTCAATATCCAGTCTGATGTGAATTATTCTAAAAAGTCATCTGGGTCTTTCTGACTCTGATTAGTCAATTAGCCACATCCTATACTGATTTAAAATGTGTTTTTCAGGTCAGTGAGTTACCCTCACAATCTTAGAGTAGTTGACATACCAATAAATAAAAACTTCTGAGATTTCCCATTAATACTCATAGATTTGTGTCTGTTGCTTCTTTATTTAGCTTATTCAATACTTGAAAGCTCTCCAATACTCATATCAATATTTTCTTCAAAATCATAAACATTGCATAATTATGTTTTATTTTTCTTTCTTGTATATTTTTATGTTAGAAATGGAGCAGGTAATAACCTGTTCATTAACCTCATTATTAACCTCATTTTTACAGGATAAAAAAGTATACTAGAATATTATCCAATTCCAGTTATGCTCCTTTTGCAACTCACTTATTCTACAATCACCAATATTGATCAACAGGAATTGTTTTTTTACGAGGTACTTGGGGACTTCTGCCAAGATGGAGGTGTAGGTGGAAACACTTTGCTTCCTTGCACAACCAAATCTAAAAACAATAAAGTTTTAACAACAATAAACATAACCAAACTACACAGAAAATTGACAATACGGAGTCCGAAAATAACGAACTGCTCAGCTAAACCTGTGAGAGGGGCGGAGCCAGCAGTGGAGCAGGTCAGGCAAAAAAGATCCCCCAACCAGGGCAGGCCGTAGGCAGCCAAGGGCACAGATCCCAGGTTTGGGGTAGCTATGGGCGGACCCAGGGAAGGCGTGGTGCAGCTGGCTGTCTGCAGTCTCGAATTCGGGCACAGATAAACCAGTGAAGAGATGAGCATTGAGACAGACCTCACAGGCCCCAGTGCAGGGCGGCGGGTTTGCACACTTGCGCTCAGATAGACAGATGGGGACGAGCGGTGAGGCGAACCCAGCGAGCGGAAAGGACCACCATTGTCCCTCTCTGACCCTGCCCCCAAATACAGCGTCACAAACCAGCAACCTGGGTGGCCCCACCCTGGTGAACACCTAACGTGCCTCTCCTCATACGTAACAGGCACAAACAGATAAAAACATGGTTCAAGAAGAACTCAGAACCCCAGAGCCAATAAATCTAAGCGATGAAGAAATAGCCAAACTTTCAGGTGCACAGTTCAAAACACTGGTGATCAGGATGCTCACAGAACTGGTTGATTTTAGTCACAAATTAGAGGAACATATGAAGGCTAAACTAATTGAAATTAATGGTAATACACAGAAAACCAATAGTAATGAAAAGGAAACTGGGACTGAAATCAAGGGAGTGGACCAGAAGGAAGGAAAAAATGACCAAACAGAAAAATATGAAGAAACAAGAATTCAAAAAAATGAGGACAGGCTTAGGAACCTCCAGGACATCTTTAAACGCTCCAATATCCGAATTATAAGAGTAACAGAAGAGGAAGAGGAACAGTTACGAGTGGGAAACTTATTTGAACAAATAATAAAAGAGAACTTCCCCAATCTGGCAAAGGAAATAGACTTCCAGGAAATCCAGGAAGCTCAGAGAGTCCCAAAGAAGGTGGACCCAAGAAGGAACACACCAAGGCACATCATAATTACATCAGCCAAGATTAAAATGAAGGAGAGACTCCTAGAAGCAGCAAGAGATAAGGGGACAGTCACCTACAAAGGAGTTCCCATCAGACTGTCAGCGGATTTCTCAAAAGAGACCTTACAGGCAAGAAGGGGCTGCAAAGAAGTATTCCAAGTCATGAAAACCAAAGACCTACATCCAAGATTGCTCTATCCAACAAAGTTTTCATTTAGAATGGAAGGACAAATAAAGTGCTTCTCAGATAAGATCAAATTCAAGGAGTTCATCATCACCAAGCCCTTATTATATGAAATGTTAAAGGGACTTACCTAAGAAAAAGAAGATAAAAAAGATGAACAATGAAAGGATAGCAAACTCACAGTTATCAACAACCACACCTAAAACAAAAGCAAATTAAGAGGACAGCTAGATCAGGAGTGAACCATAGAAATGAAGATCACGTGGAGGATTAGCAACAGGGGAGTGGGAGAAGGAGAAGGGGGGAGAAGGTACAGAAAATAAGTAGCATAGACGGTAGATAGAAAATAGGGGGTAGGGCAAGAATAGTAGGGGAAATATAGAATCTAAAGAACTTGAGACATGTGTTCATGAACTAAAGGGAGAATGGTGGGGGAGGGGTGTGCAGGGTGGAGGGGAACGGAGTGGGGAAATAGAACAAATGTAATGTTATAATCAATAAAATAAAAATATATATTTGAAAAAAAAAGAGGTACCTGGGCCCTGACTGGTACCAAGTCAGGTACCAGGTCCGGCTTATTGGGTTCAGGGTCACCCCACAAACTGAAAGGTGGCCAGTTCAATTCCTAGTCAGGGTACATGCCTGGGTTGTTGGCCAGTCCCTTGTTGGGTGTGTGCAAGAGGGAACTGACTAATGTTTCTCTCAGGCATCAGCGTGTCCCTCCCTCCCTTCCCCTCTCTCTTAAAATAAATAAAATCTTTTTAAAAGAGAGAGAGAGAAATACTTGGACTATGCCAAAACTCTATTGGTGACCATTGGAAAAGCCTTTAGATTGGGTGCTTTTGAGGCCCCTCTTTCTCCCCACTTCTCCAAGAATGGGGTGAAATAGGGAATGAAGGGGGAAATATCAAAATGAAACAGGGTAGGGACCTTGCACAGAATAATAAATGTGTCCCAACCACTGAGGCATCGAACTAATTGAATCTGTGCATCTGAACTACAACCCCCCCGCCCCCCCCACACACACACAACACTTACTGCACAGGGAGAAAACCTGTGCAGTAAGTTAGTGACCCAGTTACAGTCAAGGGTGTCTTGGCACATCCAGTTCTACAGGCTGGAACTAAGTTAACAACTTCTCAAGTCAGAATTTCCAGGGCTCCGATCAAAAGATGTAGGGTGGCTGAATGGATCAGAAAGCAAGACCAACACGTACTGAAAGACACAGACTAAAAGTAATAGAAAAAGGTGTTTCATGAAAATGGAAAGAAAAAAAAGTAGTGATACTTATACCAGACAAGATAGGCTTTAAAACAAAGGCTGTAACAACAGCGCTGGCTGGTGTGGCTCCGTGGATTGAGTGCCAGCCTGCACATCAAAAGGTCACTGGTTTGATTCCCAGTCAGGGCACATGCCTGGGTTGCAGACCAGGTCCCCAGTTGGGGGCATGTGAGAGGCAACCGATTGATGTATCTCTCCCACATCAATGTTTCTCTCCCTTCTCCTCTCTCTAAAAATAAATAAACAAAACCTTTTTTTTTAAATAAAAGACAAAGTCTATAACAACAAAGAAGGCCCCAGCAATTACACTTCATAGTATTTATCCAAAGAAACCCAAAACACTAAATATATGCATTTACATGTTCATTGCAGCATTATTTATAATAGCCAAGCTATAAGACCTAAGTGCCACTCAAGAGAAAAATAAAGAAGCGATGCAGGTACACAAGGAATATGACTCAGCCATTAAAAAGGATGAAGTCTTGCCATCGGCACCAACATGGATGGACCTAGAGGGTATTGTGCTGGGTGAAATGAGTCAGACAGAGAAAGGCAAATACCAGATGGTTTCATTTATATGTGGAATCTGAAAAGCAACATAAATGAGTAAACAAAACAGAAACAAACTCATAGGGAACATTTTGATGGTTGCCAGGTAGGAGGATGAGTGAAAAAGGTGAAGGGATTCAGAAGTACCTTTGGCAGTTACAAAATAGTTCCAGGGATGTAAGTACAGCACAGGGAGTCGAGTCGGTAATGTTGTAATAACTATGTGTGGTTTCGGATAGGTACTAGATTTATGGGGTGATCACTTCACAAGAGATATAAATGCCCAGTCACTATGCTATATACCTGAAGCTAATATACTATTGTATGTCAACTATAATTTTTAAAAATTAACATAAATAAATTTTAATTTGTAATTCTCTAATCATTTATGTTAAATTCTAGCAGATTGTGTGAGTTAGAAAGTCTAAGTTATCAGATATAACAAACAGTGCATACCTAAGTTAAAGCCTATGTAGCGGGTACAATGAAAGATTCAACTGCCCCAGAGGCGCGGCAGACGTGGCTGCCACGTCACATTTGTGTCATGCGGTGGCAGAGAACAGAGAGGCCTGTCTATGCCCAGCATTCTGGCGTGAGCGCCTGGGTGATTGATGGTCTGACACTTGGCAGGGAAAAAATGAAATAATAAAAAAAATTCAGGTAGCAAGAAATATCTCTCGATTTTTATAAAAACTTAATTTCTGACTCTAGCTCCCCACCCCAGTCTCCTGTACTACTGGAAAATTTATAATTAGTTTTTTTTAAAGCCTTCCCCTCACCTCTTCTGAGTTATGCCCACATTCTGATCTCCTGCATTTTGAGAAGGGCAAATTGGGGTAGAACTGATTCAAGCAATCAGTGGCCTCTGTACACAGGTTGCCCCTGAGTCTTCCACGGTCTTGTGTAAAGGGCACCTTCAGTACCATTCTCTGCCGCTTCCTATTTGGGATTGGGATCTTCTTAAAACTGACTAAATCCTGTATGTCTAGAGTTCTGGAGGAGCCCCTCTTTTTCCCCACTTCTCCAAGACATTCTATACCTACCTCTCCTTCTCTACAAACTCTCTAAATGGTCCCAAGAGCTTTAGACTTTGGAAACAAAGGTCAAAAAGTCTTGCATAGTACCCCCTACTTTCTGCCCTATAGAGAGACCCTAAGCAGACAATTTAACTAAGTAGAAGAAGTAAAAAGAAAATGTATGTATGCCCTGGCTGGTGTAGCTCAGTGGATTGAGTGCGGGCCTGTGAACCAAAGGGTTGCCGGTTCAATTCCCAGTCAAGGCACATGCCTGGGTTGTGGGCATATTAGCAGCCATATAGACTATGAAAAGATAGAAGAATTCCTTTAAAACCTTGACATAGGGAGGAGACTTTCTAACTATAAGTCAATGCCAGACATCATTAAAGAAAATATGGATAGTTTCATTAAAATATTATGAAATTCAGCATGGCGAAAATAAAACAATGTCATATCAAAAAGACATTGGAGGAAAATGTTAATAATTCTTGCCATAGGCAAAAGGTAAATTTTATCTAGAAGAAGCTCCATAAACAAAATTAAAAAAAACAGACCATCAACTCAATTCAACTGTAAAATGAAGTAAAGATAGAAAAAAGTCACAGAAAAGGAAATAAAGGCATTTTTAAACACAGGAAAACACACATAACTTCACTGATGTTAAGAGAAATGCAAATTAAAATTACACTGAGATATCATTTCTCAGCTGTTAAAATGGCGAAAATCCAGAAGTCTGAGAATGCACACCATTGGCAAAGCTATGGGGAGATCAGCCCACTCATACACTGCGGTGGGAGTGTAAATTAATACAACACCTGTGGAGGGCAATTTGCAGTATCCGTCCCAAGTACAAGTGTGCATGTTCCTTAATTTAGCAAGTCCACTGCTGGGAATTTATTCTATAGATATTTTTAATACATTATTCGCTAAAACATTGTACTTGCAAAAAATTATAAAACAATCCAAATATTTATTAATAGGACATTTGCTAACTAAATGATGGTACAGCCCTGGCTGGTGTGGCTCAGTTGGTTGCATGTCGTCCTGAAAACCAAAAGGTGGCCTGTTCAGTTCCCTGTCAGGGCAAATGCCCGGGCTGTGAGTTGTGACTTTGGTCGCCAGCGGGGCATGTGCAAAAGGCAACCAATCGCTGTGTCTCTCCCTCTCTTTTTTTTTTTTTTTAAGATTTTCTTTTTTTTTTTTAGATTTTATTTATTTATCTTTAGAGGGGAAGGGAAGGAGAGAGGAAGAGAAATATCAATGTATGGTTGCCTCTCATGTGTCCCCTGCTGGGAACTGGCCTGCAACGCAGGCATGTGCCCTGACTGGTACTCAAACCACGATCTTTTGGTTCTCAGGCCCTCGCTAAATCCACTGAGCTACACCAGCCAGGGCTTCTCCCTCTCTTTTTCCCTTTCTCCACCCCTTCCCCTCTATTTAGAATCAATTAAAAAATAATAAATGATGGTAAATATATATTGAAATATTTTGCAGATATACAAAAACAATGAGAATGCTCTACATAACAATCTGGAGGCAATTTTCAGAATACTTAAAGATATTTTTAAGTGTAGAATAGTCCTATCTTTTGTGTAAAAAAGAAAGGAGGATATGTATCTATAGCTGCCTGCACGTGTGAAAACTATAAAGATTCCAAGGAAACTGAGCACAGTGATCACGGTGGAGAGGCAGAACCCACGCAGGAGGGGCCGCCTGGGAGAGATACGCTGACGTTGCTCTCACGTGACTCCTCACGGCGCTCCTTTCAATCTAGAGCCGTATATCAAATGTTGTCCATGACCCTTTTTTACCACTTAACTATGAGTTATAAGTTATAGTAAATTCCGATCACCTATTGCATTCATTTATAAATTTTGAATGACTTTAAAATCTAAAATAATTGTTCATCTTTCTAATTTTTAAGGTTTCTAAACATAAACAATGGTGGTGTTTTAATCCCATTAGAGTGAATACTATTATGCTGAATAGTTTTGACTTTTTAAAAAAAATATATAATACAGGTAATTTTACTATAATCAGATCTTCAAAAAATTTATTAGTGTACAGATAAGCTTTTTTGTATATATTGTACACATAACAATTTATAAATTCCAAATTCCAAATTCCATTGTAAGAAACTCCAAGAGACTTCTGATGTTCTAAAATATATTTCTGTATCAGGAGTGTATAATTAAAGTTGCTGGAAATGTATTAGCCAAGAACTGAAACTTAAAATATTGGTCAAAAAGAAATTTTTGTTTTAACACTTTTTGTGCTACTGGATTTGACCCATATTATTGACAGCAGCACAATGTGCTTTTCCCAGTCTTGGGCTGCACAGCCGAGCACAGCGTATGGGCTGTTCTCCCTTTTTCTTCTTTGTCCAAAAGGATGTACACACCCAGGTTTGCTTCATTGTCTCTGGAATTTTCATGCTTATGTCAATTCCCCATGCACACATATTAAAATTTTATTTTCTCTTCTTAAACTGTCTCTGTTCATTTGAATACTAGCCCACCTAGAAGAACTGAGAAGGTCAAAGAAAAAGCATTACTTTTGTTAGCCCCACAAATGAAGCTGGGCTGCTATCTTATACCAAACACAAAATTAACTCAAAATGGATTAAAGACTTGCACGTAAGATCTGAAATCATAAAAACTAGAAGAAAATAGGCAGTAAACATCTTGACATCAGTCTTAGTAATGATTTTTTTGTTTTGATACCAAAAGCAAAGGCAAGAAAAGCAAAAATAGGTACAAATATATGGGGATGTAAGATGACTTGACGTTAGGTGATGGGCACACAACACAATATGGAGATCGTGTATCGTAGAAATGTACACTTGAACCCTATATAATCTCATTAACAAATGTTACCCTAATAAATTTAATAATAAAAAAAGAAAAGTAAAAATAAGCAAGAGGGATTCCATCAAACTAAAAAGCTCCTACACAGCAAAGGGGACCATCAACATAATGAAAAGGCAAACTATCTCATGAGAGAAAATATTCGCACATCACATATCTGATAAAGGGTTGATTTCTAAAATATATAAGGGACTCATTGGCAAAACAACAAGCGATCCAACTAAAAAATTGGCAGAGAATCAGAATAGACATTTTTCCAAAGAAGACATACAGATGGCCAACAGTTACATAAAAAGGTGCTCAACATCACTAATCATCAGGGAAGGGCAAATCAAAACCACAGTTAGGTGTCACCTCACACCTGTTCAAATGGCTGTCGTCAACAAGACAAGAGATAAGTGTTGGTGAGGATGTGGAGAAAAGGGAACCCTTCCTTGGGCACTGTGGGTGAGGATGTAAATTGGTGCAGCCACTATGGAAAACAGTATAGAAGTACCTCGAGAAATTAAAAATAGAGCTACCATGTGACCCAGCAATCCCACTCCTGGGTGCTTATTCAAAGGAAACAAAAACACTGCATCAAAAAGAGCTGCACCCCCATGCTCACTGCAGCGTTCCCAACAGCTGGGACCTGGGAGTGACCTGAGCGTCCATCAGTGGATGAACAGATAATGAAAATGTGACATTGTGTGTATATATATATATACATATAATATACACTTAGATATATTTATATATTCATATGTATTTTTATATATACATAATGGAATAAAAAGAAGGAAATCTTGCTATTTGCAACAACAACAATGGACCCCAGAGGCGTTATGCTAAGTGAAATAAGTCAGACAGAGAAAGTCTAATACTGTATGATCTCATATGTGGAATCTAAAAAAGTAAACAAACAAAATAAAAAGAACTCATAGATACAAAGAACAGATTGGTGGTTTCCAGAGGTAGGGCGTGTGGGAGCCGGGGGTCGGGGGGGTGACGTGAAATAGGTGAAGGGAGTCAAAGGGTACAAACTTCCAGTTGTAAACAAGCCATGGAGGTGTAATGTATGACGTGATGACTATAGTTAATGATACTATCCTGTGTGTTTGAAATAGCTAAGAGAGAAAATCTTTTTTTTAATTTTATTTCCTTATTTTTAGACAGAGGGGAAGAGAGGGAGAGAAGCATCAATGTGTGGTTGCCTCTCATGCACCCCTTACTGGGGACCTGGCCTGCAACCCAGGCATGTGCCCTGACTGGGAATTGAACTGGCAACCCTTTGGTTTTCAGGCACTCAATCCACTGAGCCACACCAGCCAGGGCCTAAAAGAGAAAAATCTTAAAATTTCTCATCACAAGAAAAAAATCGTAACTATGTATGCTAATAAATATCAACAACTGAAATTACTGTAGCAACCATGTCACAATATATACAAATAGCAAATATTATGTCCACCTAAAACTAATATAATATTGCATGTCAATTACACCTCAATTAAAAAGTTGTATAAAACAAAGTTTATAAGCCGTTACAAACAAACACACTCAAAAGCAAAAGATAGTTTTCTTGAAGTCAGTATTTTCCTCTGAGAAGTACCTTGGAGGGCTTATCACTACTGTGGGGTGTGGAAAGCTACAAGGGAGAGAAGCGCACTGAATTTGAGCAAACACTGAATCAACGATATTACAATTTACATCTGGAAGAAAACAGCCTATTGTTTACATATTGCAAACAAAGAAAGGAAAGCTT